AACAACAACAACAACAACAACAACAAATGGGGTACACAATTTACTTTATCCAATGAATTTGTTCTTTGTCTTTGGTTCCGGAGAGGTAACTTCTAAACTCAGAATTTCCCAAGTGAAGGGAATCGTGGTTATGCTACTGAGATGATTATTGGGTGGGGGCTGGCCAGGCTACAAAAGCCCAACACAGAATATCAGCCCTACCTCAAGGGAAGAGTATAAAGCTGAAAGTTGAGTTGAACCATGTGTGCAACAATTCAATTAACCATTCCTACCAAATGAAACCTCAATAAAAACTCTGAACACTAAAGCTCAGTGAACTTCCTGGTTAAGGAAAGACATCAGTGCTTGTGAGGGTAGTGCATCCTTTTGAATACTGAGATTCTGCACTGGGGACCCTCCTAGACCTCACTCTATGCATTTCCACATTTACATCATTTTTGGTATAATAAAACCGTAATTGTAAGTATAGTGCCTTCCTGAGTTTGTGAGTTGTTCTAGTGAATTGTTGAAACTGGGGTAGAGGAAGCTTCAAAATTTGTAGCCAGAAGGTCAGAAGTGAGGGGGACTTGAAAACTCCCACAGTTATGGCTGGCATCTGATGTCTTGAGCAGAACTGGTAGTCTGGAGGACTATGCTCTTTAACTTGTGAGATCTGACCTAGCTCCAGTGGTTAGGGTCAGAAGAAGAAGAACTGCATTTGCAGTTGGTGTCAGAGAGGCTATTTTAGTTGGTGTGTTAGTTGGTGTGTGTTGGAGAAGAGACACAGACACTGTAAGCAGAAAATTACATTTTTAAGTGCCTAACAAAGTATATTTTCCACTTACCTTAAGGTCTCTATGAATAAACTGTTTTGAATGTATATAAGCCACTCCAGTTGTTATTTGGTGAAACAAATCCAAAGCCAAATCTTTGTCTGATTTTCTATTTCTTTTGTCTTCAATCCATTGCTCCAATGTCCCTTCATCACAGAATTCCATTTGGATGAAAAGACACTTAGTCTCTGACCTAAATATAAAATTCACGGTATGTTAAAAGTAGCAATAAAAATAAATTTATAAAAAATACATTTGTTCTTTTTTTTTTTGCATTCTGCAAATGATCTATTATTGACTTATTTTAAATTTTTTTAAATTGTGATTTGAGCAAAAGTTTACAGAGAAAATTAATTTTCCATTCAATAGTTTATACACATTTTGTTTACTAACATTGATTACAATCCCTATGAGGTAACATCTTTCTTCCTAGTTCCTCCCTGTGGTTACCTTTTCCCTGTGTCCTTCTTTCCCAAGCATTCTTGCCTTCTGAGATCTCTCCCTGTGCAAATGCTACATTTCTGATCTTCAGTGGTTGACTATTCTAAGGAGTGTACTTCTCTGGTGTAAATGTTTACCTCATAGGCCTGTCTATTGTTGGGTGGAATTTAAGCCATAGGAGTAAGCTCAATTCTAGGTCTAAAGCGGGAATAGGGAACCCGGTCTCAGGGACATATGTTCTTTTTTATTATACTTTATCTTTTTATATACGCCCAAAACATGTATCAAAAGAGAAATGTACACATAATAGATAAATCTGAATCAAAATATAACTAATTTTATTTAAATGAGAAAATGCCAGAAGTCCAAAGCTCTAATTGTTTAGGTAATTTATAAAGTATCAGCCTGCCCATTCTTTAATGCTAAAAGTTCTTGGTCACCTTTGCTAAAAGATAGGAACAAAAGCATTAATACAATGCAATCACAAATTCTTCACTATATAAATTTGAAGCCTTTTAACTCACTATTGATCTACTGAACATAGGCATCTAGAGGTGAAAAAATGAGTCAGACATCATTCTCTTGCCATAATGGGGATTATAGTCTAAAAAAAAAAGCACTGCCGTCATGTCGGATCTGACTCACAGTGACCCCTCCTTGGGTTTCCCAGGCAGTATCACTACAGAAGTAGATTGCCCAATCTTCCTTCAGAGGAGTGACTGATGGGTTTGAACCACCAGCCTTCTGGGTAGCAGTCAAATGCCTTAGGCACTATGCCACCAAGAGAGGTAAAAGGAAAATAAACTTAAAGCAACAATATAAGTTTATGTACACTAAGAGAAGTACCAACATATTGCTGTAGGGTGTAAGCTGGAAGACTGACTTTGTTAACCATATTTTATGGTTTTCTCTAAATTAATTTGGTCTCAATATCAATTTATATTCTTTGAACATGTTGGCTAGAAAAAAGGAAAAGGTAGGCAAGAGTTTGCAGAAAGCTGAAGAAATCCTATACATTGATGGTTGCTAACTCCTGAAATTGATAATAAAGTTTTCAACTAGGTGGGATGCAGATGCAGTTGCCTCTCAGGAGAAAATGAATGAACAGGACTCCAATGGCCTCAGGGTTTTTGTGAAAGAACTATCCCCAAGAAACACAGGGTAACTTTCAAAGGCAGATACCACCTCTTTAGAACCGCCAAGTCCTTGGCAATCCTTTACCGAGACAATACATGAGTAATGGCAGGTGGGGTACCCCCATCACACCTCACTGTCTTAAAATCATTTTTATCATCTACCACTCATCATGAGTGGTGTAGCTGCATTTGAGAGAGACCCCTTGACTGAACCCCTTCAATCAGGGATCTAAGGGAAGGGCAATAAAATGCTTGCAGCCAAGGAGGGGACCTTTAGATGCAGCATCTAAAACATGCTAAAATTTTCCTTACAAGACTCATATACTATACTAAAGCAGGGCCTTGTGACGAAGACTGTATATTAAATAATGGAGTCAGGATTGCTAAACCTGAGATTTTGAAAAAGCAGAGGAAAATTTTAAAAAATTTAAAAGTAATTTTGGGGCAAGATGAGAAGCAAGAAATTATTCATTATCTCGTTACTTGTAGAATGAAGAGAAAACAGTGTCTCTCAGGGTGGCTGTGATTATTAAATGTGATAGCTAATAGACGTATCCAGTGTCTTTACATATAGGAAATGATGATTTTCAACTATCTCTTTATAGCTATGAGAATTACTTTTTAGTTACCTTGAATTATTTATGCTGTTCTCTGGATCATAATCTTGTCCATCCCAACAATTATGATAGTGAACAATATTTATATGCCTAAGGTTTGCCAATGCTCTTACTTCACGTTCTACCTTCCTAGTTAAAAGAAATAGGGAAAATAAAAGTATCAGAATACATCCCAGCAAACAATTGCAAAATACCTCAAGTAACAGGAGACAACTATCTCCATTCATTTATTAAACAGTCTGTGGTATCCACACCCTGAGTACTTGAATGGAAGTTTTAGAACTTCCAGGAAGAAAAAGCTGACCCCCAAGGAGCTTATAGCCCAAAGAGGAAGTGATAAAAACACAAAAGTGAATACACAGAGAAAGCACAGCTGTCATCACTCTCACCATAAAAGAAAGAGCAGTGACTGAAACAATTCCAAACATAGATTTTAAAAATCATTTATTGTGGTAGTTGAAATGCCATTGATACCATTTCAGGAGCTAATCGATAAATTATGTTTTGTTTAGGCTTGTGTTAAAATCACTTTGGATTTTACAAGCAAATTATATCTGGTCAATACAGATAGGTAATCTAAGCAACAAGAAGAATCTTAAATATGTGGCAAAAACCCACAAAAGACAAAGGAAATCATCTATACAGAGAAAATGAGATTTCACTGGGCATGGTGGGAGCTTTGCAGTGTTGCATAGTCAAGGGCTAAAACTAAGACAATTCCATGCTAAATAGAGCAAATAAATCATAGATTTCAAGGATGAAGATGGATAAGCAAACATTTTATATGTGTGTATATATATATATATATATATATATACACACACACACACACACATAGGGATATAAAACTATAACTGCCTTATCAAAAATCTGTAATAATGAAGAAAAAATTATCATACTTTGACAATCCTAAGACAATCAAGTTCTTACATTGAGTTATTTCTTATAGTCTTTCTTCGAACATATTTTTATATATTTATAATAATAGTGTATTATATTTATCACCACAACCACCCCTTTAAATAAAAAATAGTAGTATACAATATTTATCCTATTTTTTTCATATAGCATGGTATCTGTACAAGTTTTCTTGTTGTTAATTTGTATAACCACCATTTGTGTTATGGATTGAATTATGACCCCCCAAAAAATGTGTGGCAAATCCTACTTTCTATGCCTGTGGTTATAACCCCATTTGGGAATGGGTTTTCTGTTATGTTAATGATGGGATTAGTGTGATGTGTGTCTTAATCTCTTTTGAGATATAAAGGAGATTAAACAAGCCAGCAGAGGAGAGATGGGATAAAATAGATGCCAAGAAACATGAAGATCTCCAAGGAACCAGGAAGTAGATGCTGAAGAGACAAGGATCTTCCTTCAGAACCAAGAGACAGACAAATGCTTCTTCTAGAGCCAGTGCTCTGAAATGGGACCTCTAGCCTCCTAAACTGTAAGGAAATAAATTTCTGTTTGTTAAAGTCACCCACTTGTGGTATTTCTGTTATAATGGTACTATATAACTACAACAATTTGTAAATTTTTATGTAAGATTTCAAAAAGAAGAAAAATGTAGAGAGAACAGTATAAATGAGTTGGCATTGACTCAATGGCAATGGGTTTGGTTTCTCAATCACTAATTGAAATAGTTCACTGACTCCTGGACAGTCCTATTTCATCTATACTCCTACCCAGTTCCTCATCTTACCCTGGACTATTCAGAAGCAACTTCTAGTATTGTATCATTTCATTTCTTTATATTTCAGTATATAACCATCATTTTTAATGGCTACAAAATAACCATTGACTAGGGGGGAGAACAACAAATAACCATTTCTCTATAATTAGACAATTTTGTTTGTTCTAATTATTCACTGTTATAAATGACACTGTAATTTATATCTTCTTTTATAGCTTTTTCCATAATTTAGATAATACCCTTAGAATAGATCCCCATGTGGGAAGTCCCTGGGTCAAAGCATATAGATATATTTATGGTTCTAGATTAATATTTCCAATTTTAAGTGTTGCACCAATTTACAAAGCCACAAGAAATGTCTAAGATACTGTACCCTTATCAACAGTGAGTATTATTCTTTCTTATAGTTGCTAGTAAATGGAAGAAACAATACTCATTAAGTAAAACAATGAAAAAGGAAAAAACTTTTATTTTTATTACTGTGAAAAAGTATATATATTTAACACAACATTTGCCAGTGTGACATTTTCAGGTATACAATTTAGTGGTATCAATAACATTAATCATGTTGTGTAAACATGACCTGTACTTTTCCACATTTCCCATTACCATAAACAAAAACACACTGCCTCCTAAACAATAGCTCATCCTTTACCCCAAAATTCTTGTTTTAATGGTAAGTATGAGCGAGATTTCAGCTGCAAGGGATTGTACGGGGATAGCAAATAGGTATGATTCACTGGGATGAAAACCACTTAGGACTCCATGCCTGCTTTTCCTTTGCTCTTGTCATTTCCTTAGAACAGATCTTGTTTTCATCTATTTCTATGGTAGTAACTGCCAGAAACAACAAGCAAAATTGGTCAACTGGGGAATGTGAAATTAAAGACTTTCTTCTTGGTCTTCTGGCATGATGGTGGATAGGCAGACAAGCTACCCGGACCTTCTACAACAGAAATGAGAAACCAATTGTAACAGATACAGATGATAATCCTGGAACCCTGAGCTTTTAAAGGGAGGTTGAAGAAGTTTGCAAGTGGTATTCTGATACAAGCAGCAACCTGACAATCTACTCTGCTTGCTGAGGACTGCACAGGCAACCTGCACATTTGTGGCTGATGACCAGAAAGTAACCTTGCCCACATGATCTAACCACATTCACACAACCTGCAGCCCCACCTACTGTACAAGGGCTACCACCTGCTTTTGCACCAAATGATCAACAATATATGGAGGCCAATAACAGCCCAACCTGCTGTCAACTTCTCTACCCAAACAGCTAAAAGAGATCAGTACAAAATGTGGAACAAAATTCAAAGACACAAAACTGACCAGAATTACTGGTTGGATAGAGTCTGGTGGAACCCCCAGGACCATGGCCCCGGATTACCCATCGGGCCTAGAAATGGTCTCACTCCCATGGATTGGCTCTCAGCCCAACAACAGAAAGACCTGCATGCAGAATAACTACTCCAAAGCAATGCACTCACCTACTCTAGGGAGATGTAACCCTTAGAGCAATCAGCCATAAGGTAGCAGAGGGCCAGCATTCACATAGAGGGAAAGCTGGACAGACAGGAGTGCAGAGTTAGGAAAGGCACAGGGAGGGGACAGTCCCAGGAACGGGTGGAGAGGAGAGTTTATTATGATTGCAGATGGTAATGGGGTGTGAAATCAAATATACAAGAACTGTTGAATGTAAAACAAATTTGCTCTGTAAATCTGCAACCAAAGCACAATAAAATTTAAAAATAAATAAAGAAAATTAATACAAATATTCCTAACCTCCATCACACTTACAATGGGACAGATGGTGAGTGCCTAAGTGCTGACAAACTACCGAATAGAGTAGCACACTAGCCCTGTTCACTCAGATATATCAAAACAAAATAAAGGAAAAGGAAGAAAAAAAGCATGGGCAAATCACAACAATATACAATCACCAATTAAATAGAAATATGACATCTCAATGTCTCAGAAACAATATACAATCCCACATCACAAAAAGAAGCAAAATAAAGTAGTACAAACAAGGGACCAGAATACAGAGCCAAAAAACCCCCCTGAGGAAGAGGCAGCATTGGAATTACCTGATACGGAATTCCAAAGATTTACACTTAGATACCTTCAACTGACTGAGAAACAGAAAAGGAAAACTGACAAAATTAAGGAAAACAAAGACAAAACTCTAGACGAATTAAGGAAACCAATACAAAAAAAAAAAAAAAACCTGACAAAAATAAATGAAAATTTGGAAACCATACACAAACAGCAAGCAGAAATGTAGAAGATTAACACTAAAATTGCAGAAAGATATAGCACATTGAAAGTGCAAAGGAGTAGAATTAAATTAATGGAATACAGAATTAGTGAGATTGAAGACAAATCTTACACTACTATTCTGTTAAGGGAACAATCAGGGAAAAAAAACTGAAGAAAACCTAATATTTATGTGGGACATCATCAAGAGGAATGACTTACACATGCCTGGAATTCCACAACAGGAAGGGACAGATAAAATCAGAGAAAATTGCTGAGGATCTGTTGAAAGAGAACTTCCATAAAATGAAGAAAGATGACAAGATACACATTCAAGAAGTTCAATGAACCCCAAACAGGATACACCCCAAAAGAAAATCACCAAGACATATTACAATCAAACTTTTCAGAACCAAAGACATAGAAAGAATCCTGAAAGCAGCATAGGAAAAACAAAAAGTTACCTAAAAAGGGCACCCAGTAAGATGAAACTCATGAAAACTCTGATTTTTCAGCAGAAACCACACAAGCAAGAAGGCAATGGGATGATATATATAAAATGCTGAAAGAAAAAAAATTGCGAACCAAGAATTATGTACCCAGCAAAATTGCCCCTCAAATATGATAGAAATTAAGACATTTCCAATAAACAGAAATTAAGGGAATTTGTAAAAAACAAAACAAAATTTACAAGAGATGCTAAAGAGAGTCCTTTGGACAGAGAATGAATAACAGCAGACGACAACTTGTGATTAACACACATGACAACATAATCCAGAAACCAACCCGGATAATGTTGTTGTTGTTAGGTGCAGTCAAGTTGTTTCCAACTCATAGCGACCTTAAGCACAGCAGAACGAAACACCGCCTGGTCCCGCACCAGCTCCATGATCCTTGCTATATTGAGCCCAATGTTGCAGTCACTGTGTCAATTCATCTTGTTGAGGGCCTTCCCCTCTTTTGTCGACCCTCCACCTTACCAAGCATAACATCCTTCTCCAGGGAATGGTCCCTTCTGATAACATGACCAACATAGGTGAGACGAAGTCTGGCCATTTTCACTTCCCAGGAGCATTCCGGCTGCACTTCCTCTAGGACAGATTTGTTAGTTCTTTTAGCAGTCCATGGTACTTTTAGCATTCTTCGCCAACAACACAACTCAAAAGCATCAATT